TCGAAACACTACGATGTGCCAGCTGAGCTATATCTGGAATAAGCATCACGTGTTTTTTCTGCATTTTTTTAGATGAACGACATCACAGTCACAAAGAATGAGCCTAGAGAACCGGATAGATATTCGAAATGAGCACACATTCGCAGGAAGAGATAAACATCAATGGCTTTCACACGAAGAATGTTATGCTTACATCATTTTTGGGCCTTTCTGTGTAATGGACGACATTTGAGGCATCACAGGATAGATGCAATGGAAGCTAAGCGGTTTTCTGCTGTTGAATTCAAAGTAATCAACAGCAACATTATTATATCCATTCAAGTGGGCAATTAATTACAATCAAGCAACATACGTTCACTCCCAAGACGACTTCCTCGTAAGCCATTCGTTCGGAATTCAATTTGTGGCTGTGAAGCAACCTCTTCACGCAGACAGTGTAGCTTCCTGGACACTTTCATTGCAATATCATTCTCTGATGTTGAAAAAACAATTAAATTCCTTCAAAAATAATTCTAAAAATGGCACCATTTCATTCATGAAATACATCCTAGAGACCACTCGATTTCAAAAATGATTTCGAATCCTATTCAAAGCTGACAAGAGAATAAAGACTGAATTCTTACGTTTCATTGTTTGGCGACCGTTTGACGTTTTTATGTCGGCAGTGTCCAGAGAATGTGACGGATCCTCACCAGAAAGGAGTAGAATTTCATTGACATATTTCTTTAATCTTTTCACTTTACGTTTCTCCTTATTACTTGAATATTTTCCATTGAATACGATTTGATTTTCGACGGCCATCGATAATGATTCTGACCTTAAATATCCTCAAATTCCTTCATTTCTAGTCAATTCAACTCGTAGAAATACTCGACGGCATGTTGAAAAGAATGTAAAATCATCTAATTTTTTGGAGAAGTTAAGAAGATGTATGTGATTAATAATTTACTGTCCAACATTTAACAAATACCTTTAGATGTGAGCCAAATGGAAAATGGGTGTGAACTGTAAAGCGGTGTCGTAGTAGATAGCCAATGGG